TGGTGGTTGGTTGGTTGTTGGCTGGTGGTTGGTTGGTTGGTTTTTGGCTGTTTGTTGGCTGGTGGTTGGTTGGTTGGTTGTTGGCTGGTGGTTGGTTGGTTGGTTTTTGGCTGTTTGTTGGCTGGTGGTTGGTTGGTTGGTTGTTGGCTGGTGGTTGGTTGGTGGTTGGTTGTTGGTTGGTTGGCTGGTTGTTGTTGGTTGGTTGGTTGGTTGGGGTTGAGAGCAAGTCGTGGAGATCTCAACCCCGTGACCATCGTGGGCACCACAGACTTGACTTGGAGGAGATTTAATTTAATTTATTGATGATTAAAAATGGAAGAGAATGGTGAGAAACTCAAAATATCTCCTCAAAATATCTCAAAACTCAAAATATCTCCTCCAGCTTCACTCCTGACTCTTCTACCTTCTCCCCACCCCGAGGGGAGGGGAACAGGGACTGTGCTCAGTTCGTAACAGCTATGGGGGTCTAGTTCTTCATGATCTGCTTCAACGTGGGTCCTTTCCATGGTCCTTCACATGGGCTGCAGTCCTTCAGGTTCAACCTGCTCCAACATGGGCTCTCCATGAGCTGTAGAACTTCAGGTTCAACCTGCTCCAACATGGGCTCTCCATGAGCTGTAGAACTTCAGGTTCAGCCTGCTCCAACATGGGCTCTCCATGAGCTGCAGAACTTCAGGTTCAACCTGCTCCTCTCCAAGAGCTACAGTCCTTCAACACGGCCTCATCCATCCCTCTGTCCTCCAGCATCTGAAGGTCTCTGTTCTGATTTCGAGCAGAAAATTTTCCCTCCAAAATTTAAGACGAGTTGGTCAAAAATGTCCCACTTACCATTTTCTTGGCCGTCCATCTTGAGGCGGGGTGCACCAGGAGCTTCCCCAACGAGGTGATCTCTGCAGGACATCCCTCCAGCAGCTTCAAAGCAGTGGGGTGGGATGGAAACTTCTCCTTTCACCAAAATCCTCTGGTTTTTCTCCCCACAGCCACCAGCTGGAGCTTTCCCCGGAGGAAGCGAGATGAGGAACCACCTTCATATCTCAAGTGGGTGACTTTTGAGGGCAAACTGCCCACCGATGCCGTCTCCAACTGGAACAACTACACCCAGAAGATGGAGTATGTCTGCTCCACCCGCGTCCTCGGCTGCAACACCGGCGCCTACACCCCCGAGCGAGGTCCCTTCTGCTTCTTCCCGTATGGAGAATGGGAGAGAAGAACCAAAGACTTCAAGATCTTAATCAACGTTGGAGGTTTTGAAGCTCTGGATTGGGTGGACAATTCTTTTGGCAACGTACCCAAAAATGCCGTCGAGGGTTGTCCGGCTGTTGACGTCTTCATTGGGAGGAACCGTTATGGTTTGGGTAAGATCTCCAAAGAACAACGAGCTGCTTTCATGATGGTGGATGGGGAGGAGGTTTGGTACAAGTGGTACCAAGTGTTGGTGGTCAAGAAGGGTCCAGCAGACATCACCATCTCCAATGTCAACTACAACATGAGTGGGTTGGTGGAGCACTGGGAGAATGTCACCTTGATGGAGACCACGGTGAGGAACGAGGGTTGTCAAGAGGTGTGGAAAAAGGTCACTTTGGAGGAGGTCACTGAGATGGAGCACAACTGGGTGGTGGACCAGAGGGTCTTCGCCACCGTCCGCGGGGTGTTGCGAGCTGCCCTCTTGACCTTCAGTGGGACAGGTTGGGAGGTCACCAACGTCACCGATATCTCCTGGGTGGGGGGAGCCAGTACCAGTGAGTACATTGTCCATACCCACGTGGTGGAGAAGGTGGTCCAACCCCAGATGACGTGTGCAGTGGCCCTGGAAGGACGTCGGTTGGACGTCCGCGTCCCTTTCACCGCCCAGTTGACCCGTGATTTTGAGGATGGTCAAACGCATCGTGTGGCCGTGACGGGGTGGGCTCACAGCCGGGCGGTGGTGGGCGTCAGGGCTGCTGTCAAGGACTGTTGGCCCATCACTGATGTCCCACCATGCTGAGGATGGTGAGGTGGACCAATGTCTCTGCTTCTCACAACCTTTTTATTATTCTCACAAATCACCACCATCTTACCCCAAAAATGAGATGTCACTTTTCTCGTGGTCTCTATTTTTCCACCATAACTTTCACCAAGAGCTTCTCTTCCACCTGGCAGAGCAACCACCCATCGAGGAAGCTCTTCTCTCCACCTGATGTCCTGCATGGACATCATTTCCTGCCGCTGTCTTTTCTTCTCTCGTTTCCTATTAAACGCTCGCAGATCAAACGGCTGCAGTTGTGTAGAGCGTCAGGATGTCCCCAAAATGTCCCCAAAATGTCCCCAAAATGGGATTTCAGGAGAAAAGAGGTGAAGAAAAAAGAAAAACCACCCCAAAATATGGGATGGAAAAGCAACCAGACATCTCAGGGTGGTGGTGGAGGATGCTCACAGAGGTGGTGGCATCATCTCAGGGTGGTGGTGGAGGTCCCTGATGGAGGTGGCATCATCTCAGATGGTGGGGGCTGTATCCTTGGTGGGTGCTCACGCAGGTGGCATCTCAGGATGATGGTGGAGGTTGTGTCCTTGCTGGACACCCATGGAGGTGGCATCATCTCAGGGTGAAGGTCCATCAAAGCCCCCACCTAGTTCCCCCCCCTCCTTCCCCTGCCACG